TTGCTGTGCATCCTCTCTGTCCGTCTGAAAGGGAGTCAGAGAAAGATGCGGGGAACAAATGAACAGTAGGGCACATCAAACAAGCGTTTATCCGCCTCCATCAATGTCGCCCACTGAGTTACAGAGAGAGCGGCTCTACATGCACTCTCTGCAGCCTGATGCACCTGTTGACTCCACTTCCCGGCGCTCAGGATGGGATTCACATGGAGGATCCTTCCATCAGCACTGCCAGACTCCACCAATCCCAATATCAAAGACTGAACCCCGACCTCTGCGCCAATCAAACCTGGACACGGCACAACACAAAACCCCACACAATCTCCACAGCGGAGGGATATCAATCACACAGAGGATCTAAACGTTTCATGTCTACAGACACAGCAGTGAGAGAGAGAGAGAGAGAGAGAGAGAGAGAGAGAGAGAGAGAGAGAGAGAGAGAGAGAGAGAGAGAGAGAGAGAGAGAGAGAGAGAGAGAGAGAGAGAATGGAAAACAACTCAGCATCTGTGTGATCTTACATCCCTGCTTTCTTTGAACACCTGAAGAGCAGCAGCCTACTTTATTTACAACACCAGACCTCAGTATTGGAGAAAAATCAGAGACTTCAGAGCATTGATGTGTAGGTTGTTGCTAGGTTGTTGTTTTTTGCAGGCCAGGGTGTTGCTATGTTAACAAAATTGGTTGCTATGCAACTGCTAAAGTGAAGTAATCCACAGTTTCAGAATAAGCATTAGAGACTTTGGAGTATTGCTATGTGGTTGCTAGGTTGATGCTGTGTGGTTGCTAGGTTGTTGCTGAGAGGTTGCTAGGTTGTTCTTTTGTGCTGGCCAGGGTGTTGCTATGTTGGTAAAATGGGTTGCTATGCGAATGCTAAAGTTAAGTCAACCACCGTTTCTAAAAAAATAAAAAAGATACTTTAGAGCATTGTGCTGTGTGGTTGCTAGGTTGGTGCATGTGGTTGCTAGGTTGCTGTTCTGTGCTGGCCAGGGTGTTGCTATGTTGTTAAAATGGGTTGCTACGCAGCTGAAAGTGATGTCAAGCATCGTTTCTTAATAAAAATTAAAGACTTTGGAGCATTGATTTGTGGTTGCTAGGTTGGTGCTGTGTGGTTGCTAGAGTGGTTGCTAGGTTGTGGCTAAGTGGTTGCTAGGATGTTTTTTTCTGACTAGGGTGTTGTCATGTTGTTAAAATGGATTGCTATGCAGCTGTGAATGTGAAGTGAACTGCAGTTTCTGAACAAAAAACTGTGTAGGTTGCTAGGTTGGTGTTGTGAGGTTGCTAGGTTGTTGTTCTGTGTTGACCAGGGTGTTGCTATGTTGTTCAAATCGGTTGCTATACAGCTACTAGTGTTATTTTGTTTTATGAGCCACGTTTTCTGTTGGGGACTTCAGAGCATTGCTGTGTAGTTGCTAGGTTGTTGCTGTGTGGTTGCTAGGTTGTTGTTTTATGCCGACCAGGGTGTTGCTATGATGTTAAAATGAGTTGCTGTTCAGCTGCTAAAATGAAATAAACCACAGTTTCAGAACAAAAATTAGAGACTTCAGAGCATTGATGTGTAGTTGCTAGGTTGGTGCTGTAAGGTTGTTAGGTTGTTCTTTTGTGCTGGCCAGGGTTTTGCCTTGTTGGTAATATGGGTTGCTATGCGGATGCTAAAGTGAGGTTAACCACTGTTTCTGAAAAAAAAAAATATATACTTTGGAGCATTGTGCTGCGTGGTTGCTAGGTTGTTGCTGTATGGATGTTAGGTTGTTGTTCTGAGCTGGCCAGGATGTTGCTATGTTGTTAAAATGGGTTGCTATGCAGCTACGAAAGTAAAGTCAACCACCATTTCTTAATAAAAAATTGCAGGCTTTGAAGCAATGCTTTGTGGTTGCTAGGTTGTTACTATCTGGTTGCTAGGCTGTTCTTCTGTGCAGGCCACGGTGCTGCTATATTGGTAAAATAAGTTGCTATGCAGCTGCAAAATTGAAGTCAACCAGAGTTTCTGAATTAAAATTAGAGACTTTGGGGCTATGCTGTGTTTGCTCGGTTGTTCCTGTGTGGTTGCTAGGTTGTTGTTGCTAGGTTGTTTTTCAGTGCTGCTGTGTTGCTAAAATGGGTTGCTCTGCGGCTTTGAAAGTAAAGTTATCCAAAGTTTCAGAAGAAAAATTAGAGACTTTAAGGCATTGCTGTGTGGTTGCTAGGTTGTTGCTGTGAGGTTGCTAGGGTGTTCTTTTGTGCTGGCCAGGGTGTTGCCATGTTGATAAAATGGGTTGTTATGCAGCTGCTGAAGTGAAGTCAACAACAGCTTCTAAATAAATAATAGACACTTCAGAGAATTGCTACGTGGTTGCTAGGTTGTTGCTGTGTGGTTGCTAGGTTGTTGTTCTGTGCTGACCAGGATGTTGCTATGTTGTTAAAATAGGTTGCTATGCAGCTGCTTAAGTGAAGTGAAACACAGTTTCTGAATAAAAAAACAGAGACTTTGGAGCATCGCTGTCCGGTTGCTAGGTTATTGCTGTGTTGGTAGCTAGGTTGTTGTTCTGTGCCAAGGTGTTGCTATGCTATTATAACAGGTTGCTATGCATCTGCTAAAATAAGTGAACCACAGTTTCTTGATCTATCTATCTATCTATACCAGGGGTCACCAGTCTTGGTCCTGGAGGGCCGGTGTCCCAGCAGAGTTTAGCTCCAACTTGCCTCAACACACCTGCCTGGGTGTTTCAAGTGTACCTAGTAAGACCTTGATTAGCTCATTCAGGTGTGTTCGATTAGGGTTGGAGCTAAAATCTGCAGGACACCGGACCTCCAGGAACAAGTTTGGTGACCCCTGATCTATACATCTATGTTATATTAATAATCTATTGAGTTTTATTTAGGGATGTAACAACATTGTAAATACCGTCATACTGCAATAGTCATTTTTTTTTCAATATTACCGTAGGCGCATGACTCAATAAAACTATATTTCTGAGAAAAGTTTGCTTAGGTGAATGAAGTGAACGGGAGGTAGCGGGAACTACAATTCCCATCAGCCTAGGCGTGGGCATCATCCTTTGCGGTCTTTTGTCACTACAGATCCAGTAATGCGGAAATGGAGTGTTCTGCTAGTAGCGGGGAAGAAAAGGAGCTGGAAATGATCGAACCTAAAGCGGGTTTTAAATCGGATGTGTGGAAGCATTTCGGTTTCTTTCTAAAAAGATACGAAAAAGTAGAAAAGGTGACAGACAAAGAAAAAAACAGTATGCAGGCACTGCCAGACTGTGGTGAAATATAAGTCGGGGAATACGACTAAAAACAGTCATGGGGACTGCAGAACACAGCACACTTGTTAGATTGATGCAGACATTGACTTGTACTGCAAAGAGACCTCTATCTCAATCATGGCTTGTCCTCTCAAGTGGTGGAAAGACAATGCACAGCGTTACCCACTGCTGTCAACCTTGGCTAAATCATATCTCTCTGTCCCAGAAACCTCAGTCCCAAATGAGAGGGTTTTTTTCTGTTGCAGGGGACATGCCCAGACATTTACCAGATTATAGTTATATGATCATTTTCCTTAAAAACCCATCTCTATCTAAGTGAGTGAGTGATTAAATGTTGAATGTGATGAGTTTTCAACAATACTAAATTGAAACTTTATTTTTTTATATGGTTTAATAGTTTTTTGTTATTAAAATTAAAAAAAATTGAAGTTCCTGTTTCGAAACTTACAGATAGATGGCTAATTTGTATGTCATTGATATGTTCATAGCTAAGGTAAATAAACACTTTTGGCACTTTTTTCGAGTCTTTTCATTAGTTTTGTTTTCCTGTAAATTATTTAATAAATACCGTACCGTGCCATTCATACCGAGGTATTATCGCACCGTGAAATTCTGATACCGTTGCGTCCCTAGTTTTATTTGATTTCAGTCTGTGTAATAAATTCACTTTCTTTGACAGGAGTTTATTATTGTTTGGTCTTTTGCCAACACTTTACACAAAATAACTCACAAAATAAACGTTTACCCCTACACCTAAAACCTAACATCATAGCATAATGCAGTTATCACAGTTTTCAGGATGTTTTTAGTTCAATAAAGACAATTCAACCTTCAATCTCTGTGAATTCTCGAGGCACAGCTCAATTCTCTCCAACAACACAAGTCTGTAGGCTGCTTTTCAGCCATTTTATAATTAACAAATTGGTCTGAGGTTAGTAAAAGTACACCTTTACGTAACAAAACACAATTTAAAGCATAAAACCCCCTCATGCTTGCCTTAGCAAAATATGCTAATTACGCTGTGAAATGAGAATAGAGTTCACTCGGATCAGGGACGCTCAGAAAAACTCCAAGTCAGCGACAGGAAACTCAGGTCTGACTTCCTGCTGGCTGTGAAAGAGCGCTAAACCTTCATCTTCACAGTCACGCTGGACGCGCTTTGGCAGAGAGTTGAGAAAAGAGGCATGAATAAAACAAAACACAACAAGAGAGAGAAACACACACACACAGATTCATAATTCATGGCTTTCATTTCAGCAGCCGCCACACTTGTGATGGAGCGAGAACAGAGCGAACACACAGGTGCACACGCAGGAACGCTACATGCCTGACACACACCAACTGATGCTGCACTGATGGGGGAAAGAAAAAAACATTCGCAAACACATTCTTGGCCATTTCTGACTGCGGTTTCTAAGCAACTGCAGCTTGTGCTGAAGGCAGAGAGAGAGAGAGATAATGTAAGCAGAGCTCCAACACGACTGCACATTTCTGACGTCGCTCCACTGCAAAACTGCTGGAAAACAGCTGACTCCAAACTTGACAAATACCTGAGAATGCCTAAATGAGCTGTATTTCAACTAGTTCATTTGAGGCAAAATGAAACCTCGCTGAAGCCAATTAACTTGCGGAAGAGGAGACAAAGTTTTCAACTGCACAAACTTAAAACAAGACACAAAAACAGTATAGCCTTTAGATATGAGACACAATCTGCAATACTTCACAACACTTTACAGTACTAAATGACATTCACTTACTTATTCTGCATCATGTTCATTATAACCCAGTCTCCAGGATAGACGTTCTTCCCTATCAGGTCCTTAAACATGATAAACGTCTCCATGAGGAAATCCTGGAGAAGAGTCAAGAGAGTTTTGGATTAAACCAACATTTAAACAATTTGGAGAATAAAATAAAATTACATATAAAAATATTTATAAATTAAAATAAATAAAAAATCCTAAAAATAATACAATTAAATAAAAAAATAATAAAATTAAAGTAAAAAATAAAATATAATCTAAAATTAAATAAAGCATAACATTAATAAAAATATTAAAAATAGATTAAAAAAATTATAAAAAAATATATAAAAGTAAAATTTTTTTAAATATAGTATCAAAATAAATATAAAAAACAAATTATCAAAATTAACATAAAAAATAATAAAACAAAACAAAATAAAAAAATGTATATATAAAATATCACATTATTAAAATATACATAAAATAAAATTAATAATAACATAAAATAGAAAAATATATAAAATAAAATAAGTTAATAAAATAAGCATAAAAAATAATAAAATAAACAAAAAATTAATGTATATATAAATACATTATTAAAATAAACATTAAAATAATAAAATAAAAAAGTACCAAAATAAAAAAAAAATATTAAATAAAATATAGCAAAATAAAACATAACATATCTAAAAAAACGAACTAAAACAAAAAATATATAAAATAAAACAAATTATCATATATATATATATATATATATATATATATATATATATATATATATATATATGTATATATGTATATATATAT